GGGGCTGCACGGCCCCCCCCCCCCTGCGCAGAGGCAGGGCACCGCCCGCCAGCGGCGTCCTCACCTTCACCACCCATGAGAGGGCCTCACCGGGGTCTCCGCGGGGGCGGGGCGGGGAGCGGCAGAAGGTGTTTCCGGTCCCGACGGTCAGCACCCTGTGTGCTGGGCTGGCACTGCCGCCCAGGGCCCCTGGCTGGGGCTTCGCCCCCAGGCGCCTGGGGCTGCACGGCCCCCCCCCCTGCGCAGAGGCTGTGCCCCCCCCCCCGGGTGGCCTCTTTTTTCTGTGTGGGGTCGGCCGTGTCCTCTGTGCCCCGGGCCCCCCGGCCGAAGTTGGCTGCAGCTCCCAGGGCTGCTTCCCCCCACCCCCAGACCAGGCACCTCCCCGAAGCTCTGGGTGTCCTTGTCCGAAAGGCGGGAGGACGCGGTCTGCCGGTCAGGCGACTGGCACTGAAGCGCGGTGACAGCGCCCCCTGCTGGCCATCGCCCTGCGTGTTGGCTTCTGTGCACTCATGCCCCGCCCCCCGGTTCTCCCTGACCCCCCACGGGTGAGCGCATCCGGGCCCAGAGAGGTTCAGTAAGTTGTGTAAGGTTGCACAGCGAGAGAGCGGCAGAACTGGGTTCCAGGGATCTCTGGCTTCAGACCCACGCAGTCCCCTTGCCGGCAGGACATGCTCTGTACCCCAACTCCGCAGTGCCTGCCAGACCACGCCGGCTGGTAGGGGAGACTTCGGCAGGGTGGCCTCGGGAGACCAGCACCCACAACCACCTCAGAACGTCCCCCAGGCCCGGCCTGTGAGCAGCCTGGACCAGGCAGTGCCCAGTGACCACGCTCCCAGCATGAGCGATACAAACCTGAACATAGAGGGAGGAGCAGGAGGCAGCTGGAAGACAGAACAGTTTGGGGGGCACGCCTGGCATCCAGCGCCCCCACGCCTCTCACGGCTCTTTACCTGCCCGCGTGGGCGGGGTCTGCTCTGTGGGCGGGGTGGCCGCGCGGGAGGCCCCGCCCCCAGGGCACGGTCAGGGAGAAGCTGGCCGCCGCAGCGAAGACGCGAGCCCGGCGCGCGCCCTGACCGTGCCCCCGCCGCCCGCCTCTCGCCCAGGCCCGGCCTGCGACCACCCCGCGCTGCCCGCGGCCCTCGCTCCAGCGGTCTTCAACGGCCGAGACTCCCCGAAGCACCAGCAGCTGGCACGGAACAGCCTGTCGGCCGCGCCCCGGCCCGCGGCGTTAGGTAGCGCTGTCCGGGGCGGCCTTCCGGGGTGGGGTAGTCTGGGGTCCCCGGGGCCCCCGGGAGCGGGAGGGGCGTCGGCCAGGCGCCCCCGCAATGAGGCCCGGCAGAGTCGAATCCCCAACTGTCTCGTGAGTCGGGGTCTTGGGCAGACCTGGGCAAACGAACCCGTCACCGGGAAGTAAGAATCACTGGGGGGATGGGGTGTGGTGGAAAGTTGGGGCGCCGCTGGAGCTCACCCAGCATTACCTCACTGCTGCCCCTGGGAGAGCTGGCAGCTGGGCTGCACGGTGCTGGGGGGGGGGGCGGCGGGAAGAGCCCCCGACTGCGCGCCTCGCCCCTCGCTGGCCCGAGCGCCCTCCTACGCAGGGCAGTGTCACGCGCACCGCGTGATGGCAGGAGACTGTGCCCCGTGGGGATCCCATCCCCCCACCCCCCGCCTCGTGGTGGTAGGAAACAGTGCCCCGGTAGGGATCCCGTCCCCCCACCCCCAGCGGGGATCCCGCCCCCCCGCCCCCCGCCTGGTGGTGGCAGGACAGGGTTTTCTGAGTCGCGGGGCCTTGGCCCGCCCGCTCTCAGCCGAGGCCGAGGCTCTGCAGGCAGGCGGCTGTTTCTCTGCCCCGTGGCCCCGAGCTGGGCCTCTGGGGAGTGGTGGAGGGCGGCAGGCCTGAGGCGTGGCACCCCCAGCCCCTCCCAGCTTCAGCTGCCGCCTGAACTGGCAACAGAGGCCTCCCCTGCCTGTGCCCACAAAGTTGGCTGCGGGGTGTCCCCCCGGGGTGAAAGAACACACCTCTGTGCTGGGGATGTTGCGCCGGGTGACCCGCAGGAGTCAGGCCCCCATCAGACACGCTGACTGCTCCAGAGCTCCGTGGTCTGCGCCCCCGCGCCCCCAACCATCCATCAGCGTCAGGCATTCCTGCACTAAGGGCTCTCTCCACCCACCTGCCCCCTGCCTCTTGGGGCTCAGCGCAGGGATCACCTGCGCCCAGCGGGGTCCGTCTCTGCTCCACAGCCTTCCGTGTGGCTGAAGTCAGGGTCCCCAGCATCCTGCCCCCGGGTACTGGGGGAGTTGGGGTGCAGGATGCCAAACCACAGACCTGCTGTTTGAGCACACAGCTGACTCACACACGGGGTCCCTGGGCCTCCCCCTGCTCAGAGTTTAGAAACTACTTCTGAATCCATAAAGCCCTAAGGGGGCGTGGAGGGTGGAGGATGGGGGGGTGGCCCCTGGCTCAGTGGTGTCCAGCCCAGCCGTGCTGCCCCTGCTGCGTGTGCCGGCTCCGGGAGGCCCTGTGAGCACAGTTCTGCCTCGCCAGAGGCCCGGAACGCCGTCCCCCGTTGGCACAGGGGCGCCGGACTCCACTTCCGGCAGGGAGCACTCGCCCGCCCTCGGGCCGCGGGCCGCTCTCGTCCTGTCCCCCTGTCCCCTCTGATGATTTAACACGCGGCCTCCGGCTCCGCGGGCTCCGCGGGCCCGAGGGGGCCCCGAGGACAGTCAGAGCTGAGCCGCCTGTGTGCACCGGGGACTCCTTGGGCACGTGAAGGGCTCCCCGCCTTGGCTTTCACCCCCGGACTGTGCCCGATTTCAGTCTGAAAGGTGGGAGTCATTCTCGGGCAGTAAGTGGTCACCTCCGCTGCCCTCCCCTCGAGCTGCCCAGTTCCTCACCCCCTCTCCAGAGAGCCCATTCAGCGAGTAAGGCCGCGCCGGCCCCTCCCTGTCCACCTGCCGCACCCTGCCCGGCGCCCCAGAGCTGGGCCCACCCCGCTTCTCTGGGGGTGAAGCGAGCGCAGATGTGGGCGTTTGAGGGTCCCCAGCCGGGAGTGGCATGTAGCCCCCGGCAGGGAGCCTTGTGTCCGGTCGTCACAAGAGCCGGCAACTAGCCCCCCGCATTTTGAGCGTGAGCCCCACACGCTGCGGCCTAGCTGGAAGGGGGTGACTCGGGGCAGCCAGGCTGTTCCCCTGGATCCTCAGTCGGAAATCAGCCCGGGCGCGGGGGGTGGGAGCAGGTGCAGTGGGTCAGAGCGGCCGCTGCTCAGGGTGCTGC